ACACTGCTCATCACTGCAGCAAGCCTTTCTAATCATTTAAACAGGGTCTAACTGTCCTTCGCTCTGAGGTTGTGGAGTAGCTCTCCTCAGTCAGTCAGACTCTGTTATTTGTTCTAAACACTCCTTTTTATAGGTTAGCTGAGAAACACAAATAACCACATTCATGACACGTTTCCTGTTACACGCTTGATGTCTGTTACATGCATAGTTGGCAGTGTGTTGTCTCATAGCTGACACAGAGACGTCTGCACAGAGCGTCGTGGTCACTGCTGACACAAGCATAGCCTCAGAGTGGGCTTCAGGCCTACAAGCTTCCACTGCATGAGTGTGCACTGCTCCTTAGTAAGATCTGCTGTCACATCCAATATAAAATCAGTCCATGGTTTCTATCTTCTCTTTCTGATATCACACCTGTTGAGCTGACTGTGGGACGTTACTTAGTTACATTGTGTTGTAGATCTGTAACATGTGAGAAGCATTCAGAGCTGATAGTAACAGCAGAGTTATGGGAATACTTGTGTCTGCTGGTGGGAAACTGAACTGCTTTGACTGAATGGCCCATGAAACATGCGGCGTGTGATTGTCAGCCATGTTTACATTAGTGGTTTCCATGCCGACAGAGGAAACAGGCTGTGAGTCACGCTCATGTGCTGACAGACTGCTGTTATATAAAGTCTCGAGAATTCAGGTGCAGTTGTAATGAGTTTGTAGCTGTAAGTGCAGCAGAGGATCAGACTATAAACAGATGACGTGTGAGTGCGTTACTGCTGAAACATGCCGTTGGAAGAGAATACATGATTTCTGATGATGTGCATCACTTTCAGCGCTGTTAAAGTAACAACCTGCTCGTGACAGGCTAATCATCAGCATCTCCACCACACCGGATCAACTACACCTGCCTTATTAGTGAGTCACTGATGTCAGGCAGATATGTCAGAGCCACATTATATAAATTCCAATTCAGTCCTGAGAAAATTCCTAACACAAAAAACAAACAGGTGACAACTGAAAGGAAGACTAAACAAAGTCAAACCCTGACAGGGAGGAGACGAGAGCGCGCCGCTGTGCTGCCTTTGGTCTGCACTCACGGAGGAACGATGAACCTTACTGCAGGCTGCCTTTGTGGTCCTCAGCAGTGTTGGTCAAGTTACTTGAAAAAAGTAATCAGTAACTAATTACTGATTACTTCCCCCAAAAAGTAATCCCGTTACTTT